CTAGGGACCCCAGGGAAGGTTTATGAATGATCAAAATTTCAAATATTTGTCTCCATCAAAATTCGATCTTCATTAAATTTTTTTAAATTTTGAAAATCCACGAAATTTTTTGTGAAAATCCGCGAATTATTTTTGTTTTGTTTTACGATGTACACAAAGAGAACATGTTCACAATTAATTTAGAAGAGGGGCGCGAAGCGCCCTATAAGGCTAGTTTTGATAAAATAGACCTATAGATTTGAGTTCTTGAAGTAGGGATCCCATTCTAAATGTTGTCGGAGGTCTCAAAGCTGTAACCTGACGTTGAATAAACTGCATGAACATGCTTTTAGAGTCTAGATTAATCAATTCATTTTTTTGGTTTAAACATTCTTTTTACTTGAAATGTCTGCATGAACTCTTCACCTGTCTAGTCTAGTTTTATGAATAAGACCTCTCTATCTGTCTAGTTTCATGTCTAGGAACTCTCTACCTGTCTAGTTTTATGTCTAGGAACTCTCTACCTGTCTAGTTTCATGTATAGGAACTCTCTACCTGTCTAGTTTCATGTAAGAACTCTGTGACCAGCCCTTGATCTGATAACCCCTCGACATCCTGCTGTAGAAATCCACCAAGTTTGTCTAGGTTGCTTCTACGCAGACCCTCCTGCAACCGTCCTCGATCCTAAATATACAAGATATAATGTACAATATACATATAAAATTTACCTGTATTCCTCACATTTGGTATGAAAGTTTTTATTTCAGAGCTAAATCATCTTTTGTTGAATTTAGCTAACCATCAATGAAATGTTGAATTTAACCTTATTTAATATTCTACAGAAATAACAAGGAACTCTTAAATAGAAAGACAACTTTTCGAATCAAGATAAAATTTCGGAAAGTGCAATGAGCACGATAAAGAGCAATTGTGCAGTGTAAACTGACCTATATCACAAACCTGGTGAAATATCCAGTATCCACTAACTTTTGAACTGACAAGTGTGAAATATCCAGTATCCACTAAATTTTGAACTGAACTGTGTGAAGTATCCAGTATCCACTAACTTTTGAACTGACAAGTGTGAAATATCCAGTATCCACTAAATTTTGAACTGAACTGTGTGAAGTATCCAGTATCCACTAACTTTTGAACTGACTAGTGTGAAATATCCAGTATCCACTAACTTTTGAACTGGCCTGTGTGAAATATCCAGTATCCACTAACTTTTGAACTGAATAGTGTAAAATATCCAGTATCTACTAACTTTTGAACTGACAAGTGTGAAATAACCAGTATCCACTAACTTTTGAACTGACAAGTGTCATGAAATATCCAGTATCCACTAACTTTTGAACTGAACTGTGTGAAATATCCAGTATCCACTAACTTTTGAATTTAACTGTGTGAAGTATCCAGTATCCACTAATTTTTAAACTGAACTGTGTGAAATATCCAGTATCCACTAACTTTTGAACTGAACTGTGTGAAGTATCCAGTATCCACTAACTTTTGAACTAACTAGTGTGAAATATCCAGTATCTACTAACTTTTGAACTGAACTGTGTGAAATATCCAGTATCAACTAACCTTTGAACTGACTAGTGTGAAATGTCCTCTAAGTTTTGAACTGAACTGTGTGAAATATCCACTAAATTTTGAACTTGCCTGTGTAAAATGTCCTCTAAGTTTGGTTAAAGGATTTTGTCCTCCACAGTCCCCCTCTACCAGTCCTCGTAACGCCATTTTGTAAAATCTAAAAATATTACTAGAAAGAGGTGCAGATAAATTCGTAATTGTAGGCAACAAACAATTAATTAAAAATCTGTATTTAGAATTAAACAAGTAGATACATATAAATGTGTGTTTGAGGTGTAGCAGTAAACATTGTCAGTAAATCAGATGATACCAAATCTATCAATTATACGTCTTAGGATAAAAGAAATGTACAAATTCGAACAAATTTTAAGGGACTTTAAGAGCAATGCCTGATTCACAAGAAAACTGGTGCCGTCTAGTATTAAGTTGTGGAAGACGATGCCTGGCCGCGTTAAACAAGTTCCACAAGATTCAACAGAATGAGATAGAACGGATACGGGGCATAGTACTGATAAACATCTACACGTGTGATATCGATATTTACTCTAGTTCTGAACCCTCTAGTAATAAGTTATAAAAAATATATAAACTGGAAGTTATTTATGCGTTTTTATTAGAGTCTGACTCACGTCCTCTATAAAGTCATGATTTCAGCTAAAATTACAATTTAAAAAAAATTGTGTTGCCTATATCCGGGGTACCCAGTGGCGGATATAAGGGGGGTTATTGGGGTTATTTACCCCCCCCTAGAATCCTGGGGGTAAATACCCCCCCCTAGAATCCTGGGGGTAAATACCCCCCCCTAGAATCCTGGTGGTAAATACCCCCCTAGAATCCTAGGGGTAATTACCCCCACCCCCTAGAATCTTGGAGGTAATTA